CTAAAACGACTTAAATTAGCCGTGTCACATATTTAGAGCACACGACCACCGCTAGGGGCTGTTTCGCGGCCTGTGATTGGTCCCGAGATGCTGGCCTATTCAAACTAATGTATGGCTACAGTGTTCTAGAGGGAGTAGTGGCAAGAGCTGCGCCCGCTTACAATGAAGCGCGTTCCCATCTCAGGGTTTACAAGATGTCGATTGATTACCAGCTCGCCTGCACTCTCTCACTGCTTACGATGTAGATACCGCGAGTGGCGCTGGAGTTCTGTGCCCGAGGAGAGTTAATGGCACGTGTGCGATGAACGAAGAAGACGACGAGGGTGTCGCGGTACGCTTCTCCGAAATGTAGCACCGTAGAACTTCTTTCGCAGCTATTAAGCCTGCAGCCCAAGTGATAGCGTTGCTGAACGATGTTTCAGTAGTGGGCGGTAGTCGATATTAAATAAATAATCTCCCTCAAAACACGGGAATATTTCAAGTAGAGGATAGCACACACTCTAGAGACATTAGTCAAAAGGCAGAACTACAATTTACTATACTTTGCTTCACCTTATGTTGTATCGCAGCGAAGGCTAGAAGCGCGAGCTCATAGCGTTGGCAACTGCTCTTAATTCACGAGAGCGTGTGCCGCCGAGATGTGCCCCAGAGCAAAAAGAGCTCGCGCTTGTAGCCTTTCCTGCGGTACATCATAAGGTGAAACAGAGTATACAGAACAACATTAGCAGTTGTTTCGCACCGCGAAAAGCTCCAGTCAAACCACAGTAGTAAGCGCCGAACAGCGCTGATGATGGGGCTGACGGGGGCGCGCTCCCAGGGCACAGACAGACATGTACAAGTTACTCAAAAAAAGTAATTAAGTTAAGTTACTGAGTATTGACCTAAAAAGTAATTTGAGTAGAGTAGAAATTACTCCAATAAAAAGTAATTGAGAAAATTACTAATTACCGTAAAAAAGTAGCGAATTACTTTTGAAGTTACTTTGAAGTTACTTTTATGTGTTTTCTATGGTAAAAAGAAAGTAGATAGGCTTTGATCAGTTAGTAAAATTGTGCTAGACAAATATGGATCGGATTGTTTTTTTTCAAAGAAATGCTTTAATAGCTGGTTCTGCTTCTGCGTGCCTAATTTCTTGTACTTTCTTGTTGGTTTGGTCAATGATGTACTGCAAATGTGTCATTTCTACTTTGAGGTTTAGCACTGCCTGAGCTTCATTCTTAGACAGTGTTTGCTTGTTTAGAGTGTTGCGTAAAGTACACCTAAAAGTACTTGAAGTAAAGTACAAAGTAAATTAGAGGTTACACCGGGTGCAATGTACTTGAAGTAACGTACTATAAATACAATATATTTCAAGTTAAAGTGCCTGTACTTTTAACAATCTTTCATGACGCCATTTCGTTCCCTATACAGTGTTTTTTTTTAACTTGTACGTATTGCTCCAGAGGTATACGGAGGTGCATCAGTTTTTTACGGAAATGGCAGCAAATATCGCATAAAGTCAAGTCGCCACAGAGTAGTTGTGCTCTCGCTGAAGAGCTATTCGACACAGTCAACTTATAAGGCACGTGTTTGTGTCGGTTTTATAGCTGCCATTCCTTCAATCAGAGAAATGACCAGATCACATCTTGAAAGAGCGCGTTTTTACACGACGATACGCCATTGTTTTGTTTTCAAATTCGGGAACTGTACATTCAAGTCGGGAGCTTTACTTTCCTCGCAAAATACAAGTACATGTTCAGAGGATTTACTTCAAGTAAAGTACACTTTTTCTAAACGGTAGTACTTTAAGTACCTTATACATAGAGTACTTTGAAACACCGCTTGTTCATTTTTTTTAATATAAAAACGTTGGTGGAATTACTAAAATTTCTCGAACATTCTTCAAATATTTGAAGATCTGCATATTCTATGTTCTGGGAGGAAAGGCAACGGCAAAAAGGTCCCCTTTTTGCGTTGCCTTTGCTGAGGGCTAGTCAAGCTTCCTGTTGAAGCTTTTTCCCTTCTGCTCCACCACTCTTTTAAATGGAAATAAAGATTCTTATTATTATTATTTGCGTTGCCCTTTTGCATGTGATTCTTCGAGTAGGGTACACACTACTGGAGCACCAGATGAGCTTCAGAGCAGGTGCTGCATTTTGTTGCCTCCTTTCAGTGAGGATGCAGTGTGTGCACCTTCTATAGTGGGCGAGAGTTTCTACATTAAAGAGAAGCAGGAACCTGCCCTTTCTTCGAATGGGTCAAGTCTCCTTGAGCTTCGGGACACAAAGAAACGCTAGTCTTCGAGGCTGATCCTGCAGTTACTCGGCCTCTCTTGCGTCGTGCCTGTTCGCTCCCCGCGCTTCGTAGCAGTGTTGTTGCAGGGGGGGGGCTTGGGAAGTTTTGGACTCTCTAACCCATTTCGTCCAACCCCCTTTTCCTACTCCACCTGCTTCCCCCCTTTGCAAATATCAGCTGATCTTTCAACATATAATCTCTTTTGTGCAGTAATGTTTGTTGATGGGCAAAACAGCCACTAAAATTCTAAAGTAATTTTTAATTTGAGAAATTTGAGTAGAAGTTACTTGGAAAAAGTAATTAAAGTAAACTACTAATTACCGAAATAAAAATGTAATTGAAAGTTACTAAACTGCCCAGAAAAGTAGTTAAACTACAGTAATTTGAGTAGAGTAGTTGAACTACGTACAAGTCTGGGCACAGAACAGCAGCGCCATGGTGTCGTCTACGCGCAAAATCTTCGCAAAGCGGCCGCCGCTCTTGCCACTACAACCCCCTCTAGAACACTGTAGTATGGCCAAACTCTCTGTGGTGATGGCAGCACCCCAGCGCCATCTGGATTTTCAAAACATTCTTATTTTTGCGGGAATTCTACTGTGATATCTTCTTAAAAAGGCGCAGCGAGCGCCTTCGAAATGTGCTGCCTTATGTTGACGTTGCCACTGTAGACATGTAACTGGTCAATGTCTGTACTGAAACATAAACAAAATTCTGCAAATTGGAGATCTTTTTCTTTTTTTTTTAACATTACACCATTGCTACGTACAGTGTAAAAGTTTGTCTTCACTTCATAGAAACCAAGGGCACCGCCCCCCGGCCCTAGGGGAGAGAGGGGGGGGGGGGGAAGGGGGGTCTGGTACGCCCCCCCCCCAAAAAAAAAACAACAACAACAAAAAACAACAACAACACAAAAACAAAAAAAGCAAAACAAAATAAGTTGGTACGCCAATGGTCTTATGAACTGTCCCAGAAGAGCTCGCTAGTTTAGCGGACGCAAGTGTTGAGGCGGTGGACGTTATGAATCCGAAGCTAGTTGGTTTCGCAGCAGACGACTCTCGGCCGGCAGACGACAACCGGTTCCTCAGGGCCTCGCATTCGGCGCAGTGACACGAACGCTCCCGCGATGTGGTGCCACGCGCCTCGCTCCGCGGGGGCCGTATACCCTCCGCAGTTCGCTCAGTTATCGAGAAACGGGTGAGCCTAGATTCATTAATTGCCGTGTAATGGCTACAACAGAAACGCTAATTGCCTTGGAGCACATTTAAAAGAAATGCAAGGCGGTCTAGTTTTCGTCGTGTTGCTAAATCACACAACCCAGGCAAAACATATAAGTTGGAAATTGAAGACATGAGACTATACCGATTATACACAAAACGCAGTGCTTTCTTTTGGACTGCCCAAAGCATATTGATTAAAGATTTAGTGAAAAAAAAGAGGGGGAGGGGGGTGTTCCAGACAACAGCTGCGTACCGTAATATGGGTTTGATACTAGTTTTATAGGCGGTCAAATTAGCTCCAGAAGTGCAGTGACAAAGATTGCGTTTCAATAACCACAGTTTCTGCGTAGCTTTTTTGGCTATGTAGTTTACATGGACTTTCCAGTTTAGACCTGTACATGCTATTCAACTGAAGAAATCGATCATACATGGACCTACTTCCAGAAGTTATTTGATTCGACTACTGAATCACTGCACACAAAAGGGTTTAGAGCGAAATATATATATCTATATATATATATATATATATCTATATATCTATCTATATATCTATATATATATATATATAAACGGCATTTTAAATATCTTGTGAAATAACGAGGTATTTGCGGATCGTTGTGTCCGGTTCAAACATAAGCGTTTTACGAATACATCTTTTTATGCCGGAAATTTTTTATTTGAAGAATTTTTTATAAACTTTCTTCAAATAATCATCACGAAAATAACGAAAGGCGACTCAACGACACGGTTACTGACATTTGATAGAACAAATCGTGTAATTCACAATTTACATTAAATAAATTACCCAAATGTTGTAACTCGGGTCACTTTGATGACGATACCCGAAGTTTAGTTAAAAACGAAGAAGGGGTGTTCAACTCTCACTGTAAACAAACAAGATCATGAACTTCTATTTCAGTACAGAAAAGTAATTTCTTCCTTACCTGTTATTTGCCCGCTCCAGACCCTGAAGGCAGATAGAGGACATAACGACCGGTTTAAGAGCAAGAAAATACACCGGATACATGCCGCCATATTTAATATTTGTAGCTTGCCAAGGACTTTTCTAGATGGTGTCAAAAGTCAGTAAGGAAAATTAGTTTTTTTTTTTCACAGTGCTTCCACTCACATCAGATCAACCTCTGTTGTGGTAGCCTTGATGTTGGGCGTGTACTTTTTACAATGCACGTTGAGCACTACAAAATGTTTTTTTATTTTTCGGCAAGGACAATAAGGAATGACCGTCAACATAATACAATGACGGTACCTGCAAACCATCTATTGCTACGATGGAAACAAGTATGCTTATTTCTTACCCTTGAATCCCGAGGGCAAACACTAAACATGATTATCACTAGCGCAGCGGTGTAGCGTTTCCAACACTGCAATATGTACACACACATACACACACACACACGCAAACGCACACGCACACGCACACGCGCACACACACACACGCGCGCGCGCACGCACGCACACACACACACACACGCACACACACACGTTTCAAGTCAACCGTAGCCTTACTTTCATACTAGTAGGTCAGCGTAAACACATTCGCAGAAGAGTCGGCACACACAAATGCAGGTCATGTTTCGAAGCCCGCTTATTCCAGGTCCTGAGCGTAAACTATGATATGGAAACGGCTTCCTCCGGTCGTGCTCTTCATCCGCGGACATCATGCATGTGGGTGCACGTTTCACGAGACCGGTTGATCCAACAACATCTTAGTGGCGTCGTCTTGAGCTTCGAATAAACCACTTTCAGACGACAGCTATGTTCCCGTTAGTGATCAACTTTCCCGCACCGATCGAGGCCAGGGCCTTCAAGGGCTGTCCTGTACAGCAGTCGCCCGAGGACGCTTCGAGAGCACACGTTGACGTGGTGAAGGCGTTGCCTCCCTTGCGCATCGTGGACTCGCGCTCGGTCCCAAAGTTGCTGCGTCTTCTGCACGCTCGAATGATATCTCGCAGTCCGCGACGGATGTGGACGTTGAAGAGGCCGTAGAAGACCGGGTTGACGGCGCTGTTGAGCAGGGCCAGTGTCTCGGCGAACACGATGACGACCCGGGGGATCTTGATGCAGTAGTGGCTGTGGATGCGGACGTTGTGCACGGCGAAGTACGGGATCCAGCAGAGCACGAAGCTGGCGATGATGCAGATCTGTTAGGGGAGATATGATGCGAACGGGTTGGCAACCATACTATAGTGATTTCATGTAATAACATGTCGCTGTGTGGGTGCTCGCGGAAGTGCTTAGTATTTAAAACTGCACAAGGATATCGGGATATCAGAAGCATCTTTTCAAGGACACAGAAACCCACTGCGAAAGTCTAGCATTCCATGCACTCTAAACCTGTCATGTAGTTACTCATGAGGAGGCCGCTACACATCGACATGAGTAACATTGTCAAATTTTGTGTTTTCATCCCTCTTGGAGGCACGGTCATTGATAGCAGCCTCATGGGTAACTCACCACAAAGATGGGAGAAACAGCGATTTCATGAGTAACTAGTCTGGTACGCATCTACTGTGGCTCAAATTTTTGGAGTGTTACCCATACCAGCGGGGAGGAAGTTTCGCGAAGCCGTCACATTCGGCTATTCCAGCGACCTATAGGGGGCGCCACCACCAAACAAACATAGAGGCTGGGAACAGGTCATGTCGGCTCGGCCGAGCCGCCTGAACGGGTGGCGCATTCAATTTAACAGATTTTCTTTTGCTTAATGCCCTATTTTATAAGTATTTGACCTGCGACGGTTAGGTGCAGCCGGTGCACACAAACCTGCAGACTATAGTTCTGTTTTTCCGGTGCTTTTTGTTCTTTTCGTGTCAAACTTTTGTTTCGGAGATTTCGTTCAAAACCGAAACTCTGGGCTCCGGAGAGACGGTAAAAAAACCCTAATCAATTTTGATCAGCCAAGGAAAGCGGCGATGACCACGGAATTGTTCCACCGAGAGTAATTTTCAGCTAACTCGCATGTCTCGACCATGCGGCTTATCTGTCCGCGAAATCGAGCTTTTGTGCGTACCCGCGTTTAAGAAACAGCTACAGTCGTCTGCTCGGTCAACAACACAGGCTGCAGGAAAATTACGAATATTAAGCAAGCGCTTCTTGAGCCAAGGAGCATGTTAACCCGCTGGCGCCCCACTAAGCAGCTGATACTCGTATTTCAATTCAGGTTTTAGTAGCAATCGAGAAGCCGTCTGACAAATATGCGGGTTATGTATTATATTTCGTGCTATGGGGGGTCCCACTAAAGCGATATTAGTATATTCTTCAGATTGAAATACAAGCTTAGTTGACTAGGTTTTAGGTGAACCGCTGAATAAATGTATTTTTGACAGACAGCGAGATACTACGTAAACTCAGCCAAATGGTTCTAGCCGGCAGCACGGAGGCGAATGCGGTCAAACTGAAGAGAGTCTTCATCGGAGATTCCCGCAGAACCTCTCTGCATTGAACTTTACTTCGAATCCTGAACGGAGAAATTGAGTATTTTTGGTGGCCGGAGAACCTGAGCAATATAGACACATATTGCTGCTGGCTTCGATGGGGGTATACTATAAATATTGAAGGCGCGATAGATCATTATGTCTTGACAGCTTCTAACTTTGCGAGACGTGTCCCCTACCTTTTGAAAGCAGACAATAGACCTATTGCTATATTACCCAAGCATCAAGGAGAATGCAGGGATTGGTGTTCCACTCGCCGCACGTGCTGGCCTCAGCAATAGCAATTTTTCTAAAGCAAATACCTAAAACAAATAACATCTTGCACGCGCGTTCGTCAAAGCTTTATTTTGGTTATTTACCTCGAATATTTTATACGGGGAAGGCGTGCGCGTGTGGCGCGTGGAACAGCAATCCCTGCATTCTCTTCGATGCTTGGGTAATATAGAAAATGGTCTATTTCCCTCATTAATCGTATGCAGCGAACAGGCTTTTCGGGGATCAAGTAATAGACATATATTTCCCCAGCCAGTTTGACTACGCCACCACTGCCGCAATGCATCGAGGAAACTTGTCTTTCTGCACATGCAACAACCTCGCTGGAGCTCAGCTCAAGTAGAGCGCGAGACGGCGCGAGCCCTCGCATGCATGGCCGTCTGCCTTCTGTGAACTAAAGTTATGGCGGCGTCAAGCATGCGCCAAACGCTTAGTAAGATCGGTCTATTGCGAAATCAGCCCAACTTCTTCTGTGTGGTCCATAGGCGTTTTCGGCGAAAAACAGCCAAGATGAATAGCCAAAGCACCGACCGGCGTGGGTGGCTCAACCTTGAAGTTAATCAAACACAATCAAACTAAAAAAAAAAAAAAAAAGCTATTGAACCTTCCAACACAACCAAACTAAAACACAACCAAACCAACACAACCAAACTAAAAAAAAAAAAAAAAACAGCTATTGAACCTTTTCATTCACTTGACCGCAACATTGGTTTTCCCTCCAGTGAAACACCTCGTCTGTCGTCCTTATTGTGGAACTGTTCTACATTCTTATAAAGAAATTCCTTATCAGCTACCAAAGTAGTCGTCACTTTAAATGTGATTCGAGACGGAAAATAACTCGAAACTTTTTTTCGTGATTCCTCCTCATCCAAAAAATCGAAAGCACGCGACGGTGTGTTGTGGAGTAAACGGGCATTCAAACGCGTGATGGAAGGAAACAATCTACTGAGGCATCACCACACTAATGAACACTCAGGCAAACTTAAGAAATATTCGGACCTTCGTCAAACTACATTGTTCGCCACCGCGCCGACAACACGTGCCCGCGAAAGCCGCCAGAGACGCGGAGAGGCGCAAAGCGACCTATTCCGGCCGGTTCCCTGTTTTCCCGCTCTGCGGCGCCCGTTTTGCTGGAGTTGCGAATATGGATAAAGATTACGTGGGACAAAAAACTAACGGTGATTCAAACTAACCGCTGCTGAAGTAAGACTTTTTTTTTTCTTAGAAGTTTTACTGGGGGCTGAAATTTTTACAAAAAGTGAGTGCAAAAGCAGCGTTGTTTCTCCAGGCACATTTACGCTCTTAATTCGCCACATTACTATAGTATTCAAAAGTTTTCGAAAGAGCGATATGGACCACTTTTCGTGCGGTGCATTCCTTACACGTGATGATGCATTTGGATGCACCGACTGCCTGGCTGTTTGGTGCGTGATCCGCAGGCATCCTACAGTGCAGCCCGGCACCCTATAGTAAGTGAGCTTGAGAAAATGGGCGCGCTCGATCGCTTTTCACTTTAAGCGGCCGTTTATGCTAAAGGCTCATAGGCCACCCTTTCTCCTTTAGGGAATTTAAAGCGCCTTTCACATATATGCAACCGAGTAAGACCGAGAGAGACCAGACTGGTTTTTAAGCCTCTTGCGACGTCTTAAGGGGTATCCACACGAAGAAGAAATCCGCCACTTTCCTCCGCGGATCGCGCATCACATGAGACATACGTCATCCCGTTTTGACGCCTCGCGGCGCGTTCTCCTCCGTGGCGGAGGCGCGGAGGCTTTGTGCCGACAGCACGAAAGCTCCGCAAGTGCTCGCGGCGGAGCCGGGGACGGAGTTTCCCGGGATGTTGACGTCACGACATCCGTCCGCGGAGTTCTCCTTCATGTGGATACCCCTTTAGGACCGGATGTGCCGCAGCGGAGCTGGTCCTAATACATCGCAAGAGGCTTAAAAACCGGTCTGGTCTCTCTCGGTCTTACTCGGTCGCAAGAGTGTGAACGGGCCTTAACTGCAGCAGCACCAGTATCTTGCGAGTCCGTGCTTGAAAAGGTCAAGAACTTTACGTCTCAGTAGTAACCACGTGAACTAGACACAATAAATGACACTTTTAGACTGGCTCGAGAAAAGCTTACAGCAGTAGTTTAAGAACTGAAACAAATGGGAACAGTTCAGGCATATGACCGCGCGCCAACCGGTAGGCGAACCTCAGTTTCCGCCAAGACCCCTTTTAATTGGCCAATACCTTGAGAACTAAAACTCCGACGGGCTTATGGATAGCGCACTCCATTTCAGAGGTGCCAAAATATATTTTCGCGAAACATAAAAGTATGTTCATAAAATTGTGGCCAAGCAAAGAAGAAAATAAGAAACAACCGTCAACAACATGGCACGAATTACATAAAAAAGCGCGCAGTGAAACTCAACGCGAAGCTTTTAGGCGAGCATTTCTCAGTAAACAGTCAGCGACAACTTTGCTAATTGTTTTGCCCTCTTCACAATAAACGAAAATTTTGTTTGAGGTATTTTTCACCTCGAAGATTGCAAGAGGAAAATTGAGTATTGATTGAAAAATGTTCCACCGATTTCTTCCGTTCACTCAAATTGTGCATGCCTGGTAAAGGAACCGTAGTGCATTCCCTGGCTGATGACGCCCATCGTCAAGGACTGCTTGCAATTCCGACTCCCCAAACTGGTATGTTTGATTGTTTTTGTCCACATGCATAAATACCGCGGACATAGCTTTAAAATATGTCTCGCGTGTGTGTAAGCTTGATGAAAGGGCGTTTCTAGCACTTTTGTATTAAGAACACTGATTTAGATAATCTAAAATACACGTGTTCTTGTATGCTTGTTTGTGTGCCCTAAACGAACATATTTACACTGCGTTAGAGACGTTTGTCTCTGTTAAGCTCAATTTTTTCAAGCAACCCTGATGTGTTCTAGCTTCTCTCCTTTGCATCCGCTCCCATGTAGATGACATTGGAATTGAGCCCAGCACTGAGAGTAATTCATTTTCCACTATTTTTACAGCAGGTATGGATGTTGAGCAAGCAGCAAGCAGGATGAGCACGCCAAGCCGAGACGTTAGGAAAAAGCAGCATGTAAAGTTCAACTTATACACTCTAAAAAAAAAGGGTGTCATGGGGTACACCCATAGGGGGTGTAAGTGCTTGTCACATATACTACACCCTTTGGGGGAATAGATGTGCACCCCAAATATGGGAGTACGTGTACACCCGTTGGTGTGGTGCACATGTACACCTTTTTTTACAGAAATCTCACTGTAAGGGAACACAGGTGCACCCCATTCAATGGTGTACGGCTACACCTCTTTCTACAGCCAATGAAATGAAAGGGAACACAGATGCACCCCATTCGGTGGTGTACCAATGCACCGCTTCATACACCCGCCTCACTCAAAGGGAACTCAGATGCACCCC